ATATATATATATATACTAAATTTAACATTTTTCAGAAGTTCAGAGGCAACTTGTCAACAATTAGAAAGAATTCCGTTAGTCCGTTAACGGAATATTTGTTAAATAGACCATTTTGAAACAAAATTGATAGTTTATAGATCATTTTGAAAAAAAAAATTATTTATAAACTAAATTAAAATAAATTACATAATTAATAGATTATTTATTAAATTTAATCTTTTTTATTCATTAAAAAAACTCAGTTCTGAAAGGTGAAAAGGATGATTTAAGCTTTTATTGTCAATGATGTTGTCACTGTTCAAGCTTTTGGTCTTCCTCGATCGGTCATATATTTTTCTTTGCTTTTGAAAGATGGAGAGTCCAGAATAGATTTGGAATCAAGTTGATGCTGCCATGCCAATCTGATATGATTTTACAATCACACTGTAGTGTTAATGATATGGTATATATATTTTTTATTATTTATTCAATAAATAAATGACACCACCGCTTTAGAATTTGGAGTTGGGATCTTCCTTTTCAAATAAAAAAAAAAAAACTCTTATTTTTCATCACAAATGTAATTTTTTAGTACTCTTTCTTATTCAAATTAATTGTTTTAATTTAACTTTTCAATATATTTGACTTTACACTTTTTTTTTAATGAATAATCTGACTTGACACTTACTCTTACACAGTAAATCAAATTACAAATTTTCTTTCTTATAGGAAGTTTTTTTAGTAATTTTACTTAATAAAAAGATTTAATATTTATTTATTTATTTTATAAAAGCATCAAATCAAATTCACAAAATTTGTCATGCAAAATAGGACAACTAATTTGGACACTGGTGACTGGTGAGAACATTAAAAGTTGCCTGCTTTAACATAAAAAGAAATTAAAATGGCTCGGATTAAATTTAGGAAATTCAATTTCTTTGACAAAGATCAATGCAAAATAGGTATTGATAAATACACAACTAAAAAAAGTTAAAAATTGATGTTAATGTCACATAAAATTATGAAATGTCAATTATAATACACACTTTTATATAAATTAATACATATAATATTATAAATATAAATTTTATATAAAATATTAATTATATAATAATATATTATTTATCATATCATGCTAGTCAGAGGGGCATTCAGAGTTTTTGATTTGTGTGGATTAATGGTAAGGATCCTAGATTGGCTTAATTTGACTTTGGAAATTGGTCTCAATACTCGTTCTTATGTGCAGAAGAAATTGGCAGTGCTATGCTATAAGCTAGTTGGAAGTAGTAGGGCTGTGCGTATGCCTACCTATTAATTTATTTAGTAACATTATAATTATAAT